CCCGGGCTTCATTAGTAACCTGATAATTCCCCGGCAAAGCCCCGGCAGCGGTTCCACCACGGAGTAATTGCAGGACGGTAACGTGAGCTGATGGCGGCCGGGGATGGATCCTCGCCGTTATTGATTTTGACAGCTAAATTGTTAACCGAGAGGGAAATCAGATGAAAGCCATTTTAGAATAAATACAAGACATTAGGTTTAAACATCGAGGTAGCGAGAAAGCCCGACAAACCCCTGAGAAACTGAGCCCGAGGCCCGCTGCTCATCCTGCCCTCCGTCCTCCGCCCCGCAGAGGAAGGCAGAGTGGTCGGAGGACACGGACATGGACAAGTGCAGAGGAGCGGTGCTGAGAAAGGACAATTTAAAGCACTCATCCACGCTGGCAGAGTCTGAATTGGCTCCGACTGCTCCAGAAGAAACACGTAGGAGTTTTCACGGACACAGCCATGAAAGCCGTCTGCCCCCTACACAGTGCCGGGTGGAATAGGGCAATGCGTGTTTTGTTTGCTTCTGAGAGCGATGCAGGGCTGTAACGGCCACGGCGCACCACAGCACAGTAACGCTGACGGCTTTCTCTACTCTAAAAATTACAGACCAGGTGCTCTGGGCCCTGCAAAGCCAGAACAGGCTCAGGAACAGGGTGACTTGAGCCCAACCTCTGCCTTTCCCCGGCCTTGGGATTGAGTCTTGGCCCTGTGGACAGGCAGTCCCTGCCCTCGCTGCCTGCCAAGAGCAGGTAGATCTCTTCAAGTCCGAGTTTCACGGCTGCCTGCACCGGGAACAGCCCCTGCAGTGCTCAGGTGGAGTTGCTGGGTATTAGCACCAGCTTCACCCCCGCTCTTACCACCAATGCGCCCCCTCCCACCAGCGCCAGAGCTCGTACGAAGCAGCAACAAGGAGGCTGCGTGTCAACGGACAACCCAGCCAGGATCCCAAGATTTGGGGTTAGGCATGTTATATGTTCCCACGGGTGAAGGCATGATTTCGTACCCATCCCAAGTGAGGGGGTCTCACCACAGGCAGGAATACTGTTGAGGAAAAACCCACACCGTGGACATGGTGAACACTGTTCTTGGTACCCCACCTTGCCCCCAGGGATCTGCTGGAGATACAGGGGAAGCAAAGAAAGCCCTGAGAGGGCAGGACCATATGCCAGAGGTAAGAAACAGCCCCAGACTCCTCCTGAAGGGAGCCAGGCACCAAACCCAGCTCTCCTTCCCACCGCCAGCCTGCCAACCTCCGTACTTACGGCTTCGGAGCCAGCCCCATCCTCCACCCCAGGGATGCCACTCTTCCTGGTGCTTTCCAAGCCTATTTTATGATGGTTGATGTGCAAAGCCCCAGAGCTGATGCTCATGAAAAAACGTTCCTGAGCATTTACCTCCCCCCAGCTCCAGGGTGAGAAACTCCCTGGTTTTGCTGCGCTATCACCGCCGGTTGCCGGGGCCTTCAGGAAGCTGCGGCATTCCCGGGAAGCGCAGGCAGCACGAGAGCCTGCCAGGCTGGTGGTGGTGGGAATGCCCGACCCAAACACCAAACTGCAATAAAGCTCCCCCAGGTCTGAGTCTGGCCGAACAACAGACAAGGCACTTCTGTTAGTGCCTGTGGCAGTGCAAAAAAAAAAAAAATTAATAATAAAAAAGACTACTGCTATTGTAGCCAGATTTGTATCAGTGGACTTCGGCTGATGCCAAGCATTTACCACCCTCACTTCCTGCTTGCCACCCTCGCTTTCCTAGAGGAAAACATGCATTTTAAATGTTTATTTAGAGCTGTAAGAATTTCAACAAATCGTATTTAAATACAAATAAATATCAAAGCATGTTTCTGATGGGAACACAACCACACACCCGATTTGAATCTAGGTATTTGCTAAATTCCTAACAGAAATAAAATTGATTGCTCTTCTAACTAACGCAGATACAGATCCAGAGGACTACAAACGTCAGACCATGCAAAGAACAAACCACAGGCTGGTGGCAGAGGAACGTAAACGGGTGTTACTGCCATTCATAGGGTTACAAACTCCCAGAGATACTACTTTTCCCTTTAGTCAGGTACCCAAAAACTAGAAAGCAAATATGTAACACCACGAGACCTACTTCTGAACAATTCAGGCTTTTAACAATCCATCCATCCCACGAGTGCCCAGCTCCATTCCGGATGCTCGGCTGGGAAGCAGGAAGCGTGCTCTGGTTGGAGGTAGGTGTGCCACAGCAGGAAGACAACCCTTACTTTGCTGTGCCAGTGAGCAACACCTGCGTACAGAAACCAGGGGCTGCTTAAAAACTATTTTCCTCCTCTTGTTTGAGACCACTGTTAACCAGCTTGGGGAAGAAACTCAAGAGTGTCCGGAGAGATAAAGATTCACCACTGAAAAGATTAGGGAGAGTGGACATTGACACAGTGAGACCAGTGTCTCCTGGACCTGAGCACACACGTTCTCCAACATCTCCCTTGCGCATGCAGTCACAGGGCTGTGCATACCAAGGAGAAAATGCTGCCAGACAATGTTTGCTCCTCAGTTTTCTATTTTGCAGAGAATGTTTAGGGAGAAGAATGCACTGCAGATCAAATGGTTGAAGCGAAATGCCATCCATCAGACTTGCAAATTAAGCACCTGGTGCAGGTAATCCTCAGCACATGGCAGAACCACTTCCCCACAAACGCTTGTGCCACTTTACAGCAAGAGGCAACCAACCACCTTCACCAGCCAGTGAAAACCAGAAGTCGAACTGGTTGGTGGGCAAACACTGAGGTCATGTGCTTGACAGATGTCTCTGAGGCTGCAGTGTTATTCTCACGCTGTCACATCTGGTTTATGAAGAGCTACCACTGAAGGGGATTACTGAACGCAAACATTAGATATGCCACTGCTGTGCTCTGAAGTTACGGCACAGCGCAGACCTCGGTGGCGTGTAAATACACTAATTCCTACACTGAGGCACATCCCTACAGCCCAAATGACACTGAAATCCCCGTGCTGTCATGATTTATCTTAAGGTTACCGTATCATAAACTAATACTTGAAAGTCTGCAAAATAGATTTGCTTTGGTGCATATAAAATATTGCATGCACAGTTACTAAAAGTGTTGCAAAATCTATTTAAAATGAGTTTTATTGAGATGAAAAAGTTTTCCATGGTAACTACAGAATGTTAATCAAAACCAAGTGCTTCCCCTCCATTAAAAACACAAATCGGAATACGTTTTGTTCAAAAATACTTTAAAAAGTAATCAGTTAAATGGAGTATTTTTGGATGTGCTTTACTCCATACACTGGTTACTGTTTCTAATCTTGCTAATGAATGCACGCTAACGAGAGGTTGTCTGCGTGTTCATCAGAGGCTTTGAAGGGAACCTACTTCTCTGAACAGCGTTCAGCTGTGAAGCTGCACTGGCAGTAAGGAGTATTCAGCAGACCACCTAAGGTGTTACAGAACACTGTGCCGCGTACGGTGGTGGTGCGCTCGGGTGGCAGTATCCTGCTCACTCTACAAAGTACAAAAGCATTGGAGGACTCCAGGTATACAAAGCAGTGTTTCTTGCTACCATTATCAATTCATAAGCATCATCTTCTAGATTTCCAGGCAGCTCTGGAATAAGGAGTAGTCCTTTTCTTATCCGGTGGTTTGAAGTAAGAATAAACAGGCGCTGCCGGGTATTCCGCATCTGGGTTTTCTGCCATCATTTTCAGCTTGGCTTCAATGGCCTTTATTTTTGCACTGACACTGGAAAGGGAGAAAACAGAAGAGAAATTGAGCTTGATCTTAGCATGGAATCAGAATACAGCAATCCAGAGATTTTGCTGACATGTGAATACTTTGCCACACGAGGAGGGGCCGAGCAGCCCCCACCGCTGCACTCAAAAGCAACATGAAGTCGGGAGGCAGGATTCTACTGCTTAAAGCCCACGCTATTTCATTTCAATCCTCAGCATGGATTTGCTTAGGAAAAGTCCTCCAAGATATATCACAGTACCACAGAATAACGGTCCTTGCACCTACTCAGCACTTTCTTGAGGACACCGAGCAAGACAAGTATACACCAAGGCTTCCTACTTCATGTAAAATGACGTCATTTAAAGCGGTCTGAGCATGTGCAGCAGAGCGCAGCTCAGACGAGGCTGCTGGAAACAGCAGAGAAATGAAAGCCAGACTTCCTCCCAGCTACAAGCCTGCTCGGGATGGGAAAACCCCAGACTCTAATTAGGTCAGGAAGAAACATTATTTCAGCGTTAGCAGGGTTTATCCCAAAGGGAGAAGCTACCCCAGGTTACACCCCAAATTCCTAGGACTTTTGGTATTCACTATCCTCCATTGGGTATGGACCAAGGAATGTTCCCTTCTCTCCTGGGGCTTTCTGCAGCATCCATCCTCACTAAAACGACTCCTTTGCGCCACTGACGTAGCTAACAATCTGTATGACTCAAGTCTCTCTGCGCTTTACTTCCTAGCATGTTACTTCTGAACTCCCAGCTCATTCTATCTGTAGGCAAACTCATTCTCCCCAGTTCTGGTTCCTTATAGGGTTCCACTGACAGAACACAGAGGAAAATGACATATCCTTTCAAGCAAGCTGTGAACTAGCAAAGCAGTACTACGTGTTTTAGGTAAACAGAGGGGTGGAGAACCTAACCACATCCCCCAGAGAAGACCTACCAGCCCTAATGCTGGCAGAAAAAAAAAAAAAAAAAAAAAAAAAAAGTACTACCTCTGATTTTGTTTTCATCTTTTACCACTATAATACAAATTCTTGCTCATAAGCATTTTGCTTAATCAAATTAGTACAGAACAAAACCTCTCACTGAAATTCACATGCAAAAGCGCAAAGCACGTTCTGTCCAAATGAGATGGAACGTTACACATTCCCAATTCCCCTCCTTACCTCTTTTCCTTCCTACTGCCCTAGTGGTTTCACACGTCAGAAAATGAACATCAAGTCTGAAGTATCCCACATCAAATGAGTTACTTTGCAGCATGCTGCCCGTCTAAAAACAGCTTTTCTGCCATGTTATATTTTTAGCACAAAGGTAATGCCAACAACTCCGGATCTTATTGAAGAAGTTAGTTCCCTGCCACTCCCACGGACTGGTCACCTCTCACCCACCCCATCTCCTACCTGAGGTTAGACTGGGGCGGCTCCGTGCTGGAAGATGGCTCCAGACTGATTGGAAGGATCTTCTCATTTTTATTGTGATCGTATCTCTGCGAACGAGAGACCAAGGATTGAAGTCAGCTGGAATTACGAACAAAGAAACATTTGCCCACAGATACACTTTAAAGTTGTATTAACATCACCTCCAATTTTTTAAAGCTTTTGCTAGGAATGTTTTTGGTGGCCAAACACCGAAACAAATCCCAACCATAATATTTGTGTAGTACCAACATGGAATGTAGACTCTGATGCTGAACACTTATGTGCATTGCATTACGGATCCTTAAACCTTACCCTGTCTTACCACTTCTTGTTCCCCTCTGTATAAGGCACAAAGCAAAGATGGTAAATTTTAAGGTAATTACTGCACCGTATTGCTCTGCTCTTTATACAGACATTGTGCAGAGTCAGAAGGTAACCCAAGCACACAACTGCACAGAATCACACAGTGCTGGGAGAAAAAAAAAAAACACAAGAAAAAAATTTTAAAAACCCCAGTAAGGAATGACCTCCTTTCTGTAGAAATCAGTTTGTGAGTCTGTCATCTCTGTGGGCAACGGGCCTCCTGAACTATTCGCAGTGTTCTGCTTCCTTATTTCGCTTGGCACAAAGTCAGCCTTGTTTTTCAGCAGAGCTGCTCAAACCAACAGTGTCTGGTAAGCCTTGGCCACTCATCTTAAAACTACTTAGCATGGTGCTGGTATTGTCTAAAATAAACACTTGTTACAACAAGCCAGTTTTGTGTTGTTAAATCTTTCCATTCACAGATCAGAAAACGCCATGCAAACTGAACTGATTATTTATGCATGTTCTGCACCATAGCCCGGACGGCCGAGCACTGAGCCACCCCGCCGAACGCCCAGCTGGGCAGACACTCACTCCTCTGCCTGAAGCTCCTTTTATGGCCTGATCATTCCTCAGGCATCCGGAAGCACGTGGCGCTCGAGTAGCTACAGAGCTAAAGAAAATGGAGACTGCATTTGCACAAGCTTGGATGTGCTGACAAGAGCCTGGAGCCCTTGAAGCCAATAATTAAAGCAACGTGGTCTCCTCTAATGAAGATACCTGCTTTGGGTTGGTTTGGCTTGGCTTGTAGGTGGGTTTGTTTTTTTTTTAGCATCTAAACCAGATGCGTTAGTATACTTGATAAGAGGAAGGGTAGAGAGCTGCTTGTAGGATAATCAAAGCGTGCTAAAAGCAAACTACCCAAAGGAAAATAGCAACAAGAATCCATTTATCTGCAAAGAAAGTTAATCAAAGCAAATTGCTTTATCAAATACCAGATAGCAAACAACTACAGGAGAAACAAGACAAGAATTTAAAGAATTAAAAAAAAAAAAAAAATGTTCCAGAAGGTACTGCCTAAGTTAATATTAAAAACTTGATGTTTTGTACAACACAGCAAGTAACAAAAGGATATTTAGCTTAGATGTGAAACACGTTGCTTTAAAGTCAGAAGTAATTAGAGCTGCTGCCACATAAGTGCTTTCAGAAGTGGAACAAAGCAACAAAGTACTCGGTAATTGGGAATTTCCATGCACCTCCAATCCAAAAAGAGAGCAAAACCACAAAGGCAAGGATACAAACTTTCAGCCAATCACTCGTTAAGTTTGGGAAAAGTTAAAACGTGGACATTTATAGAAGTAATCTGTTCATATCACTCTGATCAGAAACTCCCTTGCAGAGACCATCAGGTTAAATGGCCTATTCTTACAGCTAATCCAGCAGAGTGTAGGTAGACGGGAGAAGTAGGAGATTGTTAATACTGTTTCTCTGAGAGTTATTTGCTAGAACAGACTAAAATTATCTCGCCAGGCGATAAATGATAAGAAATGTTCCTTAATATTAAAATTTTTCCATTTCGCAAATTACACCGAGCAGCTTACCTTGACTTGTGCATGTGCCCACCGCACCACCAATTTCTTGGAAAGGGCCAGCTTCCCATTGAGACATTGGATCGCCTTTTCTGCTTCCTGCACAGGATGCACAGGAAGACAGTTCAATAAACAAACCAAGTCTTCAGTCAAAACCGACTCAGATGTAAAAAGCCTTTTTTCTTTGCAAATCAGTCTCCTGTAAGTACAGCTAACTGACAGCAAAGAAAGTTTATCCCGATCCAGGAATATCTTTGGAAGACGGCAGCATCCATCTCAGCAACCAGACTTTTATAAACCAGTACGGCTGATTCTTTCACTTGTTTTGGAGGAGGAAATGGGGAAAAAGATCAGGAGTTTGAAAATATCAAATGTAGAGGCCGCTGGAACAGCATTCTGGGGGCTGTATATGCTACAGGAATTTCTCTACAAAATACTGAGACTCATTACAGTGATTACATGCGCCTCATTAACATCTCTCTATGCTTATTCCACATCCTGCTCATGCGCACTGAGGGAATCATCCACTCGGTCTTGATCTAGGCTTGGCAGTGGAATCTCAGCTTCAGGACACTCCTATAAAACTTAATTCACAGCAGTTGAAAATGTATCTTGCGATGCTGTTTCACCTTACCATGAATAACCATTCCGGTATAGCTTCTAGAGGTAACGCACTGGGTCAGGGCTCTTCTGACATCCTTACCAGCAATTGCACAGCAGAAAGATGAGGGCACACAATAACAAGCAATCTCCAAACAAACTGTTCTTCAGAACTTTTGAATAATTCTAACAGAATTGTGACAAAATAACTACAGCTCTGAAGTTACAGTGGAGCATGACTTGAAATTTCGATTTCTAACAAGAGCTAAAGCCCCAAATGGACAGCCGGGGTAGTTCACTGCAGGATGCCACAGATTCGTCATGTTGAACATCTGGCAGCATCACACAAGTTGGTGTCTGGAGGACTTCAGAGCCGTTCTGGATTTCTGCCATTCTGGCAGGCTGATCCAAGGCTCTGCGTGGATCGCAGCATCTCCAGCATACAACTCCACAAGCTCACTATAAAAGTGGACCAAAGAACTAGCCCTTTCCGATTAGCGTTAGAAAGCGGGATTCAGGAAAAGACAGCACAGGAGAAAGGAAATCACTATTGCTACTTCCAGGAGCAGCCACAGAGCTGCTGTCACGGAGTGGGGCTGTCAGAGTCTGCAGGTTTGTGTAGACAAGGTATTTAACTTATCCCTTCCTGGTTTAGCTTTACATTGTCATTTAAAAAAAAAAAAAAAAAAAAAAAAAAAAGGGGGAAAAAACCAGACATTTATAAAAAAAAAAAAAAAAAAAAAAGATGGGGAAAGAAGCCAGTCATTTAAATCAGAATTTTAGATAATAGTAACATACCTGTTTGGTTTCAAAGTTCACAAAACAGTAACCCCTCGGCTGCCCCTCCAGAGCGCCGGACTTGTGAAAGAGAAAGTCAAATTGCTTTACTTTGCCAAACTTCTGGAGGAGTTTGAGAAGGTGGTATCTGAAGGGGAGAAAAGATATTTGCGAAACCTTTCACCACTCTGAAAACAAGGAGGTGGAGAGGAACCCCCCCGCAGTCAGCCACATAAGCGGGTCAGGTGTGTCACAGGTGTATTCCCAAACACCGGCAGGGGTGGGCGCCCTGTACAGCAACGCTTCAGCATCCATAGCTCTGAGCTGCATTATCAGTGACTGCTCTAAAACCCCAAGGCACAAAGTTTCCCTCCCAGCAGTGCCAGCTGAAGGGCATGCAGAAGATCTATTAATAGTTGACTTTTGGACAATTATGCAATGGTTTGCTAGGAGTCTAGGAGGGCTTTGCCTCCTGCTGCTCTAAATCACACCTACTTTCAAGCATAAACATCATGTGTCCCCCTCCCCAGCCCTGGTGTGACCGCCTGAAGCTACATCCCCTGTATTCCTCTCCCTGCACAAGCAGTCCCAGTCCACAGCACCCCGCGTCCCGCGGGATCCACGCTGTTCTTGCTGCCCTCCCTCCCCCTGTACAAGCACTGCTCGTCCCATCCCTTCCCTGTGCCAACCAGTATCAGCGCACTGACAAGGACGTGGCCAGATCATACAGAAACGCAGCCATCTCCCACTTGCCGGGCAGAGCTGGGGAAGGAGGAAGACAGAAGAATAAGCAGAACAAACTGCAACCAGGAATTGACAGTAGACCAGGCGAAAAAAGGCACCAGACAGACCTCAGTATCATCCAGGCCAAATCTGCCAGTGCTTCTGACTCAGACAGCTTTGCAGCGACACGCACATGGAAGTCAGACACTTACTTAGCCAATTATATTCCTGCCATCCAGTGGGGAGTGTGCTGTTTTCAATAAAACTGGGAATAGCCGGAGTAAATCTGTCTGCTTAGTATCTAGTTCACTGAGCAACTTAAAATTAGGAGCACATTTGTTGTACAGGCCACATCTAATCCTGAAAGCTCTTTGCAGCTTTTCGGGGTCCCTGGATCAAAGTGTTTAACAACACTCACTGACCTACAAGGAAAGGGACACCTGTACAATTTCACTGCCTGACCCCATCCCCGGAGTTTAAGAATCGCCTAAGCATTTAATAAAGGTGTTTTAGTCAGGACTCATCTTCTCCTGATCAGCTGTACAGCGTTTGTGAGCAAGCCACGTAATCTAAGCCAAATCTTCAGTTTGCGAGGTAACCCTCAGTGCTCTGAAAGCGTACCAGGAGAACTCAACGGGCACACGGAGCACCAGGCACCGGATGAAACCTTGCACGTCAGGCATGAATGGTCACTAGTGGCCCAAGATGGCCAAATACACCAGGCAATTCTAGGGACAGTCCAAATAGGAAGGGCAGACAACATTTTTCCTAATAAAGCCTGATAGGATGTTTGAAAAGGGCTTAAGGCCTTTGTTAAGCTTCAGGGGCCAGGCAAGAAAGTTCCAGGAATGTGAGTCATCTCACAGGATGGGTCACGGTGGACATTCAGGATATGCACTTTTAAAGAGGTGAAGGTGCAGCAAGTGTTCAGACGAGCAGTGCAAAAGGGCCAAGTTGTCCCCCAGGGGAATAAGCACATTGTAATTGATTATGGAAGGCTTCCTACATCCTTTGGAATACAGACGAAGCACTGTGGTCTTCCAAGAGGGCTATGAACCCTCAGCCTCTGCTCAGGAGGCAAGGGAGCCAGAAAAGCGAGAGCAGGGGAAAAATAAAAAAAAATGGAGCTGGTTACACAGTAGTGAAGCGTCACCACCGCACCTCAAGCTACCAACAAGCAGTCACAGACGTACAAGTAAAAACTCTAACTTTGGAGACACGTAATGTATATAAAACTCCCCACATTGAATTTTCAGAGCCTCCAAAATATGTAAGTGCACCTCAGGTTTGTTTCTGTAAACATATTCCTACAAAAAGCGCTTGCAATTTCAGCAGTATGAAAATAAAGTCCTTACCACTAGAACGCTGTCCCCCTTTTGGCAATTACAGAGGCAGTGGAAGGGCAACAGTGACTCACGGCACTCTAGAAACAACGAAACCCTGCAGCTGCCCTGCTAAAAGGGATACTTTGTGGAGGTTTTTTTCCTGAGAACCTCTGCATTCGAATAATACTTTCTAAGCAGCAAAGTGGTAGTTGTTCCTTTAAAACACATTTTATTGAAAGTCTAGAAGCAACCCATGTAATCTATTTTATTTAGAATCTTTAGATCGTAGATGATGCAAATGCTATTTTCCAACCACGCATGAAATTTTTAGAACTTCAGGCCACCTACTCTCCATGGAACAGCTCAGAACTGAAGTCTTGTATAACTAAAAGTTTCAGGCTGTGATTACAATTTGTTATTGCTAATACAGTGAGGCCATTAACAGTAACTTGACAAGTAGTTCTGCAAGCCAAGAGGACTTCAGTACTGAAGGAAGACCTGTCACGGAAAACCCGAAGCCTTAAAAAAAAAAGTGAGAACGTGTAAAAAGCTTTACTATGGCAACGACTTGGGTTATCCAGAGCTTGGAAGCGATTCGCACAGATGTGGCCCCACCGTGCCGCGCAGATCACCGCAGCCAACCTCAGTTTCCACTTCCTGTCATCTGATGTGAATGCGAGACAAACCAGCAGCTCCCCCATTTCCTTTTCCTCCACTCTTCCTCCTGGCACCCCAAGCGCTATTCAAACACAGGCAAGGCTTCCTCTGAACAATGCTGTCCCAAGGATACCGCAAAGGTACCGGGCCACATGCAAAACCAATTATTGCGAAGAATTTTGCCCCACTGGGAGTCAGTAGGAGTCTGTAACAACAACGTACGCACACATTGTTTTCTAGGTGAGACTCATCAAGATGGGATCCTAGACAAGCAGAACAGCCAAGGAAGTTGAACACCCGTTATTTCATACTGGTGGAAAATGACTGGTCATTCAAAGGTTACTGGAAATTAGATAATATGTATGTGTAATTGCAGAGCTGGAAATGAAACGTTTGCCCGTCCAGAATGTTGAAGAGTCAAAAGGCTTTACAAATGGGAATGAGCAGGGGAGGCAGTCCTACTCTGCTTGCCATGCAGGAGACGGAAGTAAAGTATGGGGTTTTCCCCCACAGTATGGGAGCACTGAGAGGTGATGTGAACAAACAGTTGTGCCACAGCACATCTCCTACCCCGCAGCGCAGCTGGGGGACAAACGCTGCACCAGGCAATGCTCATGGTGATGGTGAGGGGACTCCACGGCTTCCTTGCTCAGGGATACCAAACCCAGAACCAACCATCTGCTGCCCTCCTCGTGCACAGCCACGGCAGGCAGGCCCCACAGCAGGGATCATTCAGCATCAGAAGTGCCTGGAGATAATGTCCTACATCATGAACAGGTCCTATGGTGGCAGCTCACCTCCTTCCAGCCGCTAAGAATACACTCAGGAGACTCCTAAAACTATCTTCTTCCAGAGGCAGAACAATCCTCTAAGGATGCTGGATGAAAGAAGAGAAGTCACTCAAGCAAACATTACTGATAAGGAGGAATGCCGACCAGAAGACCCACCGTACCCTAGTACATAGGGTACGTCAGCATTCAAGATCCTTTGAGACTCCCATTTGAGTCACAGTTACTCAGTACATGCAATAACCTCCTATAAGTCATCAGCTTGCAAGCTGTAATTTGTGGGCAGCCCTACATTTATAAATTCCTATTACTGCAGCTCGAGCTCAAATGTGTATGTTACCTATTAACTCCCTAGCGCTTGATTGCAGCTATAGGTTGCTCTCTAAATGGAAGTCTTGGATTAGTTCGAGACTTTCTGAACTCATTTCTGCTCAAGAAAGTCACAACCACTTATTAACCCTGCTAACAACTCAATCAACTTTACTCCGTCTTAAACAAATCTAAGATAGAAATTGCAGGGACAACCCTTCAAAAATCAGATGAAAGCAGCAAATGAAGAAACAGCTATTCAGTTTTCAGGTATATGTTTTCAGTCATGTGATTAGTAACCTCAACAGGGATAATTCAGATGAGCAACTATGAGCAGAGATGTAAGCCCTTAGGACAAGAAAGTAACGGTCAAGATGATTTATAGAAGCTTACTGACTTGACACAGAACCGCGCTCTTTCTCTCTACACTGACAATGTGTTAAAAGGAACTTCCTCTTTTTTTTCATTCACAAGGAAATGAAGATGACAATATAGCTTGCAGGACAGAACAGCCATTTTTAAAGCAAAACCAAAAGCTAGGCACAGAATTATAAAGCTTGGAATAAGCAACAAGCACTGTCACTCATCACTGGGCAAACTTTAAACACTAAGTAGCACAGGAGCACTCGCGATTTGATGATGCCGGAGAACAAAGCCCTCTAACTAGTCTCTTGCCCATCGCCCACAGCCACAACACTGCTCTGGACACGGTCCCCAGCAGCAAGGGTACAAGGGCGGCCGTGTCCCACGCCCAGACTGCTGAATTCATGCAGCTGCAATAGGTTATTTGAAAAGGAAGAGCCTGCCCATGCAAGAAGCTGACTGAAACTCACAAAACTCATTTCACCCAACCTACGAAAATAGTAAATGTTGCCACATAAAGCTATTACTTGTCTGGCCTAGATTCAGAGGAACAACCTGGACTGAAAGGCTCTTTAAAAACACCACTAACGATCACCCCGGGAAGTGAAGGATCTAATGCATTTACAAACACCCACTATTCTTCCCCTCACACTAACCCAGTTTCCTGAATCTTTAAGGACCCAGCAAACAACATGCTCCAGAACTCCTATATCTAATTTTATGTGGTCAGTGAATGTGGACAAACCAGAGTAACATAGCTGTGGGATAAAAATGGTAATTAATGCAGAAACCACCCAAAGCTGAATGGCTGAAAAGCACAATGCATTAATGATTCCATTTAGAGGCTATTAGAAAACTGCTCTGTTAAGATGAACCACATTTAGAATAAAAACCTAGCACCTGCACACACACAAAAAGAAGCAGGAAGAAAAAGTATTCCATGACAGGCATATACAATAGTTAATCAGAAATGCTTGTTTCTTAGAAGTGTATAAACCCCAAATTGTTGTTTTGTTTGGGTTTTTTTTTTTATACAACCTACTGATTTCTCAGCACACTATCCAAACATTGGACAGCAAGTCACATTTTCTTGACAATTTAGCTGTTCAAATATTATGTTTGCTCAGAAGATAATTACCTGTAGTCTGAAGAAAACATGAAATGCATACGCACACATGTTTGATTTATGCACTTATCCACCAGAAGCAGCCAGCCGCACTGTACCCTACCCCATTACCACTCAGTTACTCGAGTGAGTAACTCCCTGTTCAACCTCCATCCCACTGCTGACACCAGTAAAATAACAAGACAAGGCTCTTGGTCACCCCAAAAGTCTCAAAGCTAAAATTCTAACGTGTTTAGGAAATGAAGGTGTTTTTCACTCCTGGGCTTCCAGCCCGAGTGGTGGCTCAGAAGAAGATTGCTGTACGCAGTAGCTAAGAGCCTGCCTCTGACCCCCTCAGTCTGTGGGGCCAGCACAGCCCTGGAGACACCCCATATACACACACTCCCCCCCCCGCCACACACACAATTCAGGCTGTTTGCTGCCAGGCAGCCGCACCAAGCAGACACAGAGTCACCCACAAAGTGCTGTGGGAGCAGGGACCAGCTGGCAAATCTCCAGTGGGTGACCGTCACCCCTCGCTGCAGGGCAGAGGCGAGAGCTGTGTGTGCTCCACCAGCCTCCACTGCCCTCCTGGGCACGGGGGCACCCCAAAGACTGTCCCCTAAACAGCCACCCATCCCACACCCAGGTGGGCACCGGGGACCGAAGGGTGGGGACCCAACGCCGGGTCCTCGGGGGCAGCCATGGCTGGGGAGGGACGGGGGCAGGGAGAGCCAGGGCAGGGAGATGTGTCGCTGCCCGGGGGTGCTGCGCTGGTTGGGGGC